GGCGGGGGCCGGGCGAGAGGGGGCCGCTACCGGCGGCCACGTGGGCAGCCCGCGCCGCCACCAACCCCCGCCGGCCTGCGGGCTCGGGAGTGAGGCTGCGTGACCTTGGGGCGGTCTGGCCTCGCTCTCTCTCTTTGCCGCCGGGTCGCGCGCGGGCTGCCGGCCTCCCGCTCGGCCCCTGTGGGCCCCGCACCGAGACCGCGCCCGCGGCCCGTGCAGGGCCCATTCATCCTGTGCTGGTCTGCGAAACGCCACCTGTCTCCGTCCTCTCGCGCATCCCTGTGGCGGCGGGGGCTCCGGGGGTGGCCGCGCGGCCCGGTGAGGTCCGGCCGAGGGGCCGGCGAAGGCCAGCATTTCTGGGCTGAGCCCGGGAGCGAAGACTTGGGCATCTTACTCTTGGGGTCTGTGGCTCGCCAAGCCACGTGCTCTGTGAGGCAACGTAAAACACGATCCTTTGTGCGCCTCAGTTAGTCCTCTGTACTGGATGTGAATCCTGTGGTTTTAATCTGTGCTAGTTATTTTGACGTGTAAATGTAGTTTTCTCAACCGAGATAAAATTGCTGGCAGAATTGTGAATTCTGTGAAAACACTAGCAGTCCGTGGAAACTTTTCTTCTCTTCTAAGCAAAAGCACAGATTTTCTCAACCAGTAAAAACTCAAAGGGTTGCTTTTGCTTTGAGGGTAACGCACCCCTCGAGCCCTCTTCCATGTCAGTGTCCTTAATCTGCACTTGGCAGGATCGTCACCCACATCTTACAGATGAGGCGTTTTTTCCCTGGCACTGAGAGTTTAGGGAGCCCAGGCAACCTGCCCAGGTGTGTTAGTTGTATCTGGGCAAGGGTGTCAGAGTCAGGGTCTCACTGCAGGCTTCCTTGGCTCGGGACCCTTTTTCAACCCCTAGCTTTGAAGTGAGGCCCGCTCTAGTGGGGATGCCCACTGCAGGCACCAGAAGCTCTGACTCAACCAGCAGGGTCACGTCTCCATCCTTCTCCACAGGACACCCACGAGGACCACGACACCTCCACTGAGAATGCTGACGAGTCCAACCACGACCCCCAGTTTGAACCAATAGTCTCTCTTCCTGAGCAAGAAATTAAAACATTGGAAGAAGACGAAGAGGAGCTTTTCAAAATGTAAGCAAGCTGGCGTCTGTGGAAGCAGATACCTTTGGTGCGAGGCCTTAGTTTTTACGGGTGTCAAGCTCTCAGCTTGACCTTCAACCACACCGAGGGTCTAGTGATGACCAGTCCCACCAGGAATCAAGGCAGCTGTTAGAATCCCCTCACTTAGAAACTCACGGGTGCCCCTGCTGCCCTGAGGCCTGTCCTGGGGAGGGCACAGGCGCTCCCCAGTGTCCTGTCACCACTGCTGTGTTCGTGAGGGATATTTTTCCAAACCTCTGTCCTTGCCACCTGCCTCTTAAGATTCCCACAGCCTCCTGCCGCTGACTGAGCAGGGATCTTTACTGGCATCGCTGTCCTTTTCTTTTCCTTTAAAGTGGGGCACCCTGAAGTTTATGAATTTCTCACTCAGTATTTTTGATGCATACAACATCTGGAATTACAAGTGAACGCGGGTTGTGCTGCAGTTACGAAAGTTACTTTCTAAAAATCTTACATGCTTCTTGGTGTTTTTGGCAAGAGGCCTCAGTGCTGTCACTTCAAAGCAGTGCTTGTACAAGCTGTGCATCCAGATGTTGGTGGTAAGGTGCAGTGCCACACTGACAGAGAGGAGACGCCAGTGTAGTTATGAGTTAGTGGAAATGGGGCAGGGTGCAGACTATCCCCCTCCTGTCAAATTCTGTCCAAGACACCAGGTGAAGGTTTGAGTGCTTTGCTGTGGGGAGGAGGAGAAAGCAGCAGGAATCGCTAGCACTGTAGCCCCTCCCTCTAAGGGAGGGAGGAGCTACCCACCACTCCCTGGGGCCTGGGCAGGGAGAGGGGTGCGTGTTCCTTGGGTCTCAGAGTTTGCTGGGCAGTTCCCTGAAGCCACTGGTTCTCTTGGTCCGTTCCGCCCAGAAATGCTGCACCTCCTGGCGTCCTGGGGGATGTGGAGCTGGCAGGGGTCCATGGCAGTGGGGCCGGGGTGCTTTCATGGGGATGCATCTCCCTTAACAGAGCTGAGTTTGGGACAGAGAGCAGAGTCTTCTGCACAAAAGGGACCAGTGGAGCTGGGGTCCTGCATGAAGCAGGCAGTGGGTGTGGTTGGGGTGAGCCCTCAGGACAGGACTGCCGGGCGCCCCCTGGTGCTGCTCAGGGCAGGAGTGGCCTGTGCAGGGCTCCTCGGCCTCCGTGCTGCCGCTATAGCCCCAGGGACACCAGGGAGCCCCTGCACCGCAGTGGCAGCCTTGCCTGGGAACACGGTGGGCGCTTCTAGGAAGTTGGGTCTTCTTGTTGGAAAGTGTGCCACTGTAGAAAGGTTTTTTACTCAATTATAGTGAAGTAAAAACTCGGAGTTTGGCCATCTTGCTCTTCTGGTGACGAGTTGTGGTGGTTGGAGTAAAAAGAACGGGGAGGGCGTCTGCTTGGAAAACCAGCATCGTGTGTCCCCTCCTGTGGCGTCAGCTCCTGCTCGTGGCTTTCCCTGCAGGCGGGCGAAGCTGTTCCGGTTTGCCTCGGAGAACGACCTCCCAGAATGGAAGGAGCGCGGCACAGGCGATGTCAAGCTCCTGAAGCACAAGGAGAAGGGGACCATCCGCCTCCTCATGCGGAGGGACAAGACTCTCAAGATCTGCGCCAACCACTACAGTAGGTGGTGGGGCCGCTGTGCACGGGGCGCCTTCCCACCCTCCCTTGTCCTGTCCCCACGGGGTCCCTGGGGGAGGACAGGGAAGGGCAAGGAGGTGGGGGAAGGCCGTCTCATCCTCAGCTGCCCGAGAAACAGCATGGGGGTGGGCAGTGGCCAGCGGAGGCCCTGGGACAGGACTGAGAGGTCAGCCCTGGGCATAGCGTGGGGGATCCACAGAGTCACCCAAGGCTTGGCTAGGGAAGATGTAGCAGCGAGTTCCCCGCCGTGTGGGCTGCTCTGCGGTGCTGAGTGTGTGTCCAGACGCAGGCGCATCCTGGGCTCCGTTCCTGACCCGGGGCGGTGCCTGCATTTCTGGAGGGGATGCATGTCTGGCGGGGCAGGGCCGCTCGTCTGGGCACACGGGCTGACCGCTGGTAGGAGCCCGAGGGATGACCCCAGAGGGTGATGGGGCAGAATGGCCCTAGCAGGAATGGCCGTCCCTGCACCACTCTCCTCCACCTTCATGCTCTGACTCCACGTCCCAGCCTGGCCGGCTTCCCTCTAGCAGTTCTGCCGTCTACCTGCTCCGCCCAGCCTGCGTGGCCCTTGGGTGCTTTTGTTCTGCTGGGAGCTTGGCCCTCTCGGGTCTGTGGGGCCAGTGCAGGTGGGCGGCTGTGCTTGTTCCTGGCCATGGCTCTGTCTTCTGTGATGTACAAGCTTGTCACAGGCCCTCGGTGTCCACTCCTGGTGGCCTTGTTCTCTGTGGTATCTGTGAATAGTGCAAGGCTGAGTTGTTGCCTCGGTCTGACCATGTGCCCTCCTGGGTGATGGCCCCATTTCCCACCTTCTGCCTCTCTGCTGTGCCCCGCCTTCTGTGGGCAGGTCCCTGATGGTGTGGACACGCAGAGACACAGCCACGGGATGGGTGCTCTTCACAGGAAGGGCTGGGCCTGCTAGGCCTTGTGGCCCATGTCTTCCCTGGGCCTGGAGGCGGCTTGGGCAGGGGTTTGGCATTGGAGCCCTTGGATGAATTGGGATCGGAGACCCTTGCTGAGGTGTCTTCATAGTCAGGGAGCGGGCCACCGTTTTCCCAGATTTAGGACAGTCCTGATTTTAAGTGAACATGAAGTTGGGGTGAAATCCAGACCCCAAACCAGTCCTGTTTTGCCCCAAGAAGGGCCTTCAGTGGTTGGGGTGGGTAGGCTGGCTTTGTAGCCAAATCGTCCTCATGGGACTTCTTCCTCCAGTCACGCCGATGATGGAGCTGAAGCCGAACGCAGGTAGTGACCGCGCCTGGGTCTGGAACACCCACGCAGACTTCGCAGACGAGTGCCCCAAGCAGGAGCTTCTGGCCATCCGCTTCCTTAACGCTGAGAGTAAGTGGGGTCTCGGGCCAGCCTGGCGGCTGCTGCCTTCTACAACACACTGCTTTGGCTGCAAACACCAGCACCGTTGCTTTCCAGGGAGAATTGACAGCCACTGGGAAGCAGTAGGGGCCTCTCCTTTTTCTGCTGTCTGGTGGCCCCTCGGGGAAGGAATCTACGTGCCCAGACTCTGAACCCATGAGCAGGGTGTGTCCCCTTACCATCACCTGGTTGCCAGCAGGGGCTCTCCCCACCCTGACCTCTCCCCTGCTGGGGCATCTGTTTCCAGCCCAGGTGGTCAAGAGCTGGGCCCAGTGGGCCCTGAAGGAGTTGGGTGGATGCTGGGGCCCAGCACCCAGTAGCTGACCATCAGATGCTGAATGGACCTTGCTCTGCGTGTAGGGCCTGGAGGGCAGGATACCTAGAAGGGCCTGGCCCCCTGCCCCATGTTGCTCTGCCCAGGCTGCTGCAGGGTCAGAGGGAAGTGGTCCAGCTCCCCTGTGATCGGCGTGGCCGTGGGACAGGCCTTGTGAATCTTGGAGCTTCAGACCCGGCAGGATGCATACTCTTCACTGCTCAGGGCTCTTAGGGAGCTTCTTTTCTTTCTACAGATGCACAGAAATTCAAAACGAAGTTTGAAGAATGTAGGAAAGAGATTGAAGAGAGAGAAAAGAAAGGTGCTTGGGCGCCCGTGGGGTGGGGAGGGTGCTGATGGGGCTCTGCAGACTCACTCTGCACCCGGTCGTGGCCCCGGGCGGGTGCTTTTTCCGTCTGCCACAGGAATGTCCAGGGTGCTGTGACCATTTTGACCTGTCAAGGGCAATGCAGCCACCCTGGTACATGGGTGCTTTCTGGGGAGGGGGGCGAGTCAGGCCCCAAGTATGTGCTCACTGGCCTGGCCTCGCGGCCCTCGGCCTGGCAATCAAGTCACGAGGTCTGCCTGGAGCCCCCAGAGGCTGAAGGGGCTTCAAGAGGCCCTCGTGGTCACCTGCTTACTTGGGGTCCTGTGGTGGTTGCCGAGCACCCTGACGGCACTGGGCGTGGGCAAGTGTCCACCTGGTGGCCCTGGAGGCACGCAGCGATGGGCTGGGCCTAGTGGTGCTTCTCTGCTCCTCACACATCCCTGTGTCTCGGCAGGATCGGCCAGGAATGACAGTGCCGAGACGGTGGCTGAGAAGCTGGATGCTCTTACGGTGAAGGACCGCGTGGAGCCGGAGGGCGCGGCCAAGGAGGGGGCCGGGGAGGAGCAATGAGTCCAAGGAGCTCTGTGTTTCCTTTCTCCACATCTCTTCCCTCTTTCTTTTTTAATTTTTCCCTACCCCTTCTTTTCAGTTCGTTTTTATTCTGTTTTGTTTTTTACAAGGGACTTTATATAAAGAACTGACTTCCAACATTCAGGTTGTTTTTTTCCTAAGTTTTTGCCCTATTGAGGACTTCAGAAAGTTCATTCCCTGGTCATGAGAACGTGCTGCGCTGACTTTCTTTTCCATGGTGGAAACACTTATTTATAGTCATCAAAAGTAGTGAATAAACACATTTGAAACCTGCGTGGAGGCAGGAGCGTGTGTGCGCCGGCCCCGTCCCGGGACTGTGGGTTCCTGCTGGCTCTGCTGTCGCTCGCTCTACCATGGCCTCCAGGCTGCTGTCGGCCATGGGCCGCGGTGTCTGAGCCGGTGCTGGGGGGTAGGTGGGCCTGGGAGGCCGGTGCTGTCCTCTGGAGGCGTAAACAGCCTGGCCCTTACCTGTGGCCAGGAGCCGGGAGGCTTTTTCCTGGCCGAGGGGTAGAAGGGAAGCCCACCAGATCACCTTGGCTGTGGCACGGGGAGGCCACGTGGGTCTCCAGGCTCCAGCCAGGCTGTCTTTGGTCAGCCCTCAGTCCCCGTGGAGGGAAAAGCCAATCCCACAGCATACACACCTGGCCTGTCACTGGGCTCCACAGACTTCTTCGGATACCCCGCTGCTGTCTTCGGACACCTGTCTTCTCGCTCCTGGCCCACCCCCTGGAATTGTGGACACCTGTGGTAGCTCTCAGTAAGGAATGTTTTCGAGAATGCAAGTGGGTTAGTGCCATTCAGGTTTGCCTTGTAAAGTGGGTCATCCTAACAGGAGGTTTTTAGTGTGCTGTGGGCTCCAAATGCACAGTCATCCCTGTGGCGGCCTATGTCTGGGGGAACATCCCAGGCTGGGAGGAGCCCCCACGGGTTGGAGAGCATGCCAGGACCTGACCCTGGAGTGGCCGTTCCTCCCTGGTGGCTTTGCCATTGCACCTCTCAGAGGCTGTGCGTTGTGGCCGGCCTGTCCTGTCCTCCCTGCGGCCACATCCAGTTCAAACCTCCCATTCTTGGTCTCTGGCGGACTCACCCCATAGGAAACCACCCTTGTTTTAAAAGCCAAACTGCAGGCCTCACTTGCCCCTGCCCTGGCAGCCCCAGGCCTCCCTCCCTCACTTTTGGGTGCCTGTGGTGGTCCTTCCCACCCAGGGAGGGACGCTGAAGTTTTCCCAGCTCCCCATCCCTAGGAGCTAGAGTTGGACCCCATCGTGGTGCATCAATGGGAGAGGCTGGTCCAGGGTCTGGTCCTCCAGGGAAGGGCAGTCAGACACCTCTGCAGACACAGAAAGGATGTTGAATGTCTGCCTGCTTTGGGCTCAAATACTAGCGAGATCCCACCTGCTATAAGAAGAAGGGAAGTGAACCTGATCCCTTCTCTTGGGTGAGGACATGTGTCCAAGGGGGAAACCCTGGGTGGGGATGGTCCCTCAGGATGGCTAAGAGACAGCCGTGCTGTGACCAGGATGCATGAAAAGGTGATAACCAGGATGAACGGGGACACCGTGGGACCCTCTGATCCCCCAGCCAACATGTGTTCAGGCAGACGTCTGGTGACATGGGCGATGGTATGGGTATGGTGGGGGGAATGGCTATTCCATTCCAGGTCAGTCCTCTGGCCTGTAGCTTGGGCAAGCTTTCTGCCGTGCTTGGGAGAGGACGCCTGGGCCATGGCCACGCTTGTTCCTCACCACCTGAGATCCTTCTGCCCAGTAGGCAGGGACTGCAAGGGCCAGGCCTGGGGTGGGGCTGCAATGTGTCATACCCCAAGGCCCCCAGGGGCTGAGGCAGAGTGGGAGGTGTCTGCTCCAGGTGGAGTCTGCTCCCTGCTCACCTCAGCCCTGGGCCTCCTGGAGTGGGAGCCCGCCACTGTTTCTAACAGCTCGTGGCCCTGCCTGCTGGGCTGGGGCTTCAGAGGCCCAAGTCCAGGCAAAGAGGGGCCTCCAGGCCAAGGAGCCCCAGGGCCAGGGAGGGTGAGGGCCCCAGGTGGATGCCCTGGTGGGTCTTGGTTTCAGAGCGGAGGGCCCTGGGGGCGTGTCCTCACTGTGGAGGCTGCGACATGCCCAGGTCCCAACCTCCCAGAGGCTCGACTGCTGCATAGAGGCCAACAGGCTGCCCGTCGTCTGCCCAGCACTGCGAGGCAGCTCACTGGTCCACCTTAAGCGACAGCAGTGGTGGCGCTGGTGGGTGGGATTTCCTGCAGGAGGTGGGCCTGCCCGCGGGCCTATCCCAGGCAGAGGCAGGGTGCCTGGTGCTTCCCGAAGGGCTCTCCAGCCTGTCCTGGGAGGCTGAGGCTCCCACCCTCACCCTCCTAAGCCTGCAGCCTGGGCCCCCACCCTCCTTACGTTGCCTGCTGGCCTCTTGGTCCAGCTGAGTGCCCAGTGGGCAGGGGGTAAACAACCAAGGTGCCCTGCAGTGTCACTGTGCCAGGGGGCTCAAAGAGCTCCCAGGTGAGGGTGTCAGCCTGTCCCCAGGGACACACTCTGAGGTGTTTAGGGAAAGTTCTATGCAAGCAGGGCCCAGAAGGGGACCTGCGTGCCACAGTGTCAGGATCTGCGGACTGGGGACGGGGCCTGGTGTTCACCCTGTGTCCACCCAAGGGGCAAGGCCTCAGGTGTGCGGTGGCTGCGTGGCTTCAGAGGGTCCTGGCACTTGGCTAGCTGGGGCTGCGAGGTGAGGCCCTGCCCCGGCGGGGGTCCTGGGCCAGCTCCGCCCTGAGCACTGGGGACGGCGGGGCGGGATGGGCGGCAGTCGCGAGGGGCCCCCGCCTGGCCCCACGGTCCCTACTGCCGGTCCACCTTAAGGGGCGCACTGACATCAGCACGCCGTCGCCGCCACCGCCCGTGGGGTGGGATTTCTCCGCTGCCGCTGCTGCCGCCCGGTCCTGCCTGTCCAGTCGGCCCCGCCCGCCCGGCCCCGGGGAGGGATGCGGCGGCGCGGCGCCCAGGATGCCCCGCAGCCCCGGGACGCGCCTCAAACCCGCCAAGTACATCCCGGTGGCCACGGCGGCTGCGCTGCTGGTTGGCTCCAGCACCCTGTTCTTCGTGTTCACGTGAGTTGGACGCATCTCTGGGGCCAGAAGGGGCAGGGCTGTGTCCAGCGGTGGACACAGCCTGGCAGGAACCGGCCGGGGCTGGCAGGCTGGGAGGGGTTGTGGGCACCAGGGCTGCGGCGATAAGAGCCCCCACCCTAAGCCGAGGCTGACGTCGCCACGTGCCCATCCTGGGGTGCCAGGGACAGGTGAGTCCTGGGAGTGAGGACACTGGTGTCCAGCAGATACCTCATGCGTGTGCCAGGCCGGCCCTGGGTGTGAGATGCCAGGCCAGGCAGGGGAGTGTGTGCAGGGGCTGCCCAGGGTGTGGCTGCGGCCCTGCCCTCCCCACAGGCTGCCCAGAGCCACTGCCACCAGCCCTCCTTGTGATGAAGGTGGGTGGCTCTTGGGTGCCCTCCCGGCTGCCCGGCCCCAGGCCAGAGTCAAGTTGTTCCCGCGTAGGTGTGGCCTGGCCCGCCTGCCACGTGCCTGCCCCACAGTCACCGCCGACGCCGGCCGGGCAGTGCCCTCTGCTTTTCCTTGACCTCCTTCTCAGGAAGGCTCAGTGGTCACAGCTGGAGGGGCCAGGTGAGGCCACACCAGGGACACCGGCTGTGGTGGGTGCTGGACACTTGAGGTCGAGGGCAGGTGGTCTCGGCCGGGCAGCCTTAGCTGCTTTACCTGCGGCTCAGGCTGGCTTTCAGCCCAGAGCAGGTGCTGACGACATAGCTCCCTCTGTGTGGTCATGCCCCCCTGCCCCAGGCTCCTAGGGCTCAGGGAGGGGTCAGGGGCCTAGGCTTCGGTCACACAGATCTGCCACCACCCCCGTCCACAGTCCAGGTTGGGACACAGCCTGGTGACCAGAGCAACAACCACTCTGGCCCTCCTGGGGGCCTGTAGCCAGTGGGGCGTTTGTTCTGAGGCAGGTCAACCCCTCAGCCTGCGGGAGCCGGGGCAGGGGTGGGCAGGCGTGGGCCTCAGCGAGGGCGCGGGTGGAAGGTGGCGGGGCCACACTGGGTGCCCAGGGGGACAGGCAAGCCCCTACCTGGAGGCTGGGCTGGGTGGGCACCACAGGCTGCCAAGAGTGTGTTTAAAAAAGGCCTGTGTGGACGGGCCTATTTCTGGCTTCCGTGAGCAGACGTGTTCTTCCACTCATGTGCTGCCGGCTGTGGGGCTGTGGGCAGCTCAGGCAGGACAGCGAGAGGACACATGTCCCACTGGGGCTTCTGGAGGGGCCGACCCTGGCCCCGGGGCCTAAGCAGGGGTCTCGGGGAGTCTTGGCACTGCTTCCGGGCAGCCTGGCCTCGACTTGCTGGTCCTGGTTTCTGACTTCCCAAGTGCATTTTAGTGTTTGTCCCCCTGACTTTAAAAGTAATACATGTTCTCTATTGAGAACTTGTGAAATGCAGGGAAAAAGTTTAAAAGGAAATTGAAATCAACCCCACCCCAGAGAGCCTGCCCACCTCCTCTCCTAAGCACACCCGGGC